AAGGAGACACTAATTATGTTATTGTTATTGCTTTTGCTGTGTTTTATATTGTTTAAATGTTTTAATCTGTATTATGATATTATGTGTACTGATTTGTTGGAAACCGCTTTGAGTCGCTGACCGGCTGAGAAAGGCAGTATACAAAAACAGTAAATAAATAAATATTACATTTATTATTTTACTTTATTATGGTTGTTGTTGTGACATTTATTATTTTACTCTATTATTACATTTATTATTTTACTCTATTAATATTGGAAGGATACATACGACCATTTACATTGAAGAAAGTTACAATAATAGTTTAATCAGAGTTGGACAGTCTTAGCTTAAATTACGCTTTTATGTAAATATTCAAAACATATGATACCTCAATTAATGCAGTTGTATTGGTATCTATTTTTATTTTGAAATATATCAGTAGTTGCTGTATTTTCAACCCTTGGCTTATACTTGAGTTAATATGTTTCCCTGTTTTTGTCATAAAATTAGGTGCCTCAGCTTATATTCGGGTCAGCTTATAGTCAAGTATATACGGTAATGTAAAGTATTTAAAAGCCCTACTAAATATGCTCCAAAATAACTGGAGTGGGGTGCCAACACTTGCTCCCTGGGTCAGCTTCAAGAAAGAGAAAATGTTCCTATGTCTCGACATCCACTTCAGGAGGACAAGCACATAGGTCTTCTGCGAAAAGCCTGAAGCCAGGCAGATGCCTTGATAAGACTCAATGAGCACATCAACAGCACTCCTGACTGATGACAGGATTTCAGGAATGTCTTACAGATAGTGACCAGTCCCTGATTATAAAGAAAGCTGCTGATAAAGGCTGTTTTCCAAATTATCCTGAAATCTAGAGATTTCCTCAGACTCACTCACTCAAGGCCATCAAGTCAGGAATGTGCATCCCAAGGGGGTTTGTTTAGTCATTGGTTAACTAGCTTCTGTTGCAATCTGCAACAAGAGAACAATACCTTATTGCTCCAGAGAGAAAATGAGTTCATGAACACAAAAGAGAAAAAGAAGCAGTTCATTCCAGCTCACTTTTTTCTATGTAAGAGCTATGCCACTAAACAGAAGAACTAAGCAAGAAAAGTTTCCAAGTAACAAGTGTTAAAACACTGGATGGGAGTGACGACTGTTCTCCCTTCCACATCCAAATGAAACCACGTAAGAGAGACGGTTCGTAAAACCATCCCTTTTACAAACGAAAGCTCAGAACAAAAGCAAGTGTGAAAAAGTAAATTTGGGTTGCTGGGAGTTTTCTGGGCTGTATGCCATTCTCTCCTGACGTTTCACCACAGGCATCCTCAGAGGTTGAGGGGTCTGTTGGAAACTAGGCAAGTGGGGTTTATATCTTTGTGGAATGTCCATGGTGGGAGAAAAAACTCTAGTCTGTTGGAGGTAAGAGTGAATGCTGCAAATGGCCACTTTTATTAGAATTGAATGGCCTTGCAGCTTCAAAGCCTGGCTGCTTCCTGCTTTGTTGGGAGGTGTTAGCTGTCCCCAATTTATTCTTGTCTGGAATTCCCCTGCTTTTTGAGTGTGGCTCTTTATTTACTGTCCTGATTTTGGAGTTTTTTGAAATACTGTTAGCCAGATTTTGTTCATTTTCATCATTTACTCCTTTATGTTGAAATTGTCCACATGCTTATGGATTTTAGTGGCTTCTCTGTGTAGTCAGAATAAAGTAAATTTGGACTGGCAAGAAAGCAACGCAGGCCCAATCTATGCTGCCATCTAAAACGCAGATTCAAACTGTATTATATGGTCAGTGTGGGCTCATATAATGAAGTTTAACTGCATGGAATTGTTGGCAATGCAGAAGGGGCCATAGGCAGATGTGAAAGGAGCCAAGGAGAGGAGGCCTTAAATGTCAAGCCTTCCCCCTCTTGCACAAACCCTTTTGCTCAAATTCCACACTTCCGAACTCAAGGAGGAGACAGAAGGCTCTTATTAAAGCTTCTGGGACATCAAAACAATCTCTGGGGTAGACTTTTTCTTGACTTTCTCCCATTCTACAGCTAGGATAACCCCTCCTGCCAGCATTTTTCAAATAAATAAGCCTGAAAGCAGTGGGATTTCAAAGTTTCCCACCCCTCCTGGCTCTCTGTAGGCTTTAGATCAGTGTTACTCAACCCGAGAGTCGGGACCCCTGGGGTGGTCACAAGGGTGTGTCAGGAGTCACCAAAGACCATCAGAAAACACAGTATTTCCTTTGGTCATGGGGATTCTGTGTGCCAAGTTTGGTTCAATTCCATCATTGGTGGGGTTCACAATGCTCTTTGATTGTAGGTGAACTATAAATCCAAGCAACTACAACATCCAAATGACAAAATCAATACACCACCCACCCAATTCCACCCATATTGAAATTTAGACGTATTGGGTATATGTGCCAAATTTGGTCCAGTGAATGAAAATACATCCTGCATCTCAGATATTTACATCATGATTCATAACAGTAGCAAAATTACAGTTATGAAGTAGCAACAAAAATAATGGTTGAGGGTCACCACAACAAGAGGAACTGTATTAAGGGGTTGTGGCATTAGGAAGGTTGAGAACCACTGCTTTAGATCAACAACACATTGCAAGGCAAGACTGTTGGGCTTGGTCAAAGGTCGCCAGGCAAAGGGTGTTTACCACCGAAAGCCCTACCTGTACAAACAACTGAAAGGTGTGCGAGGAGGAGAGGAGGCTTGGCAGGGAAGCAAGAGAAGGGAAGGCAGCAGGAATCTCTCAGTTGTTGTAGGTATTTTGAGCTGAATGGCCATGTTCCAGAAGCATTATCTCCTGACTTTTCGCCTGCATCTATGGCAGGTATCCTCAGAGGTTGTGAGGTCTGTTGGAAGCTGGGCAAGTGGGGTTTATATATCTGTGGAATGTCCAGGGTGGGCGAAAAAACTCTTGTCTCTTTAAGAGAGGTGTGAATGTTGCTATTGACCACCTTGATTAGCATTGAATGGCCTTGCAAGCTTCAAAGCCTGGCTGGTAGCTGCCTGGAGAAATCCTTTGTTGGGAGGCATTAGCTGGCCCTGATTTATTCTTGCCTGAATGTCAGTGGGAGTGGCTGTCAGCTTATCAGATTTCTGTATTAATTTGGCTTTGCTTTATTTGCAGCTGTATTGGAGGAAAATATTTTGTTGTTGTTTTGTTTTTCTCAAACCTATTGACATTACCTATTGGGAACTGCTGATGAAAAAGTTCAACACAAATGTGCACTTACTGTGTGGTTGTAAGTTTTCCAGGCTGTACAGCCATGTTCTAGAAGCATTCTCCCCTGATGTTTCACCCACATCTATGGCAGGCATCCTCAGAGGTTGTGAGCTCTGTTGGAAACTAGGAAGATGGGGTTTTATATATCTTTGGAGTGTCCAGGGTGGGAGAAAGAACTCTTGTCTGCTTGAGGGAAGTGTGAATGTTGCAACTGGCCACCTTGATTAGCACTGAATGGCCTTTCAGCTTCAAAGCCTGGCTAGTTGATGCCTGGGGGAATTATTTGTTGGGAAAATGGGGTTTTATAGATCTGTGGAGTGTCCAGGGTGGGAAAAAGAACTGTTGTCTGCTCAAGGCAAGTGTGAATGTTGAAATTGGCCACCTTGATTAGCACTGAATGACCTTTCAGCTTCAAAGCCTGGCTGGTTGCTGCCTGGGGGAATTATTTGTTCGGAAAATTGGGTTTTATAGATCTGTGGAGTGTCCAGGGTGGGAGAAAAAAATTCTTGTCTGCTTGAGGCAAGTGTGAATGTTGCAATTGGCCACCTTGCTTAGCACTGAATGACCTTGCAGCTTCAAAACCCGGCTGGTTGCTGTTTGAGGGGAATTATTTGTTGGGAAAATGGGGTTTTATAGATCTGTGGAGTGTCCAGGGTGGGAGAAAGAACTCTTGTCTGTTGGAGGTAGGCGGGAATGTTTCTTTCTCCCACCCTGGAAACTCCACAGGTATATAAACCCCCATCTTCCTAGTTTCCAACTGGCCACAATCACTGGGTTGTTTTAGGTTTTTTCGGGCTATATGGCCATGTTCTAGAGGCATTCTCTCCTGACGTTTCACCTGCATCTGGCAAGCATCCTCAGAGGTTGTGAGGTCTGAGGATGCCTGCCATAGATGCAGGCGAAACGCCAGGAGAGAACGCTTCTGGCACGTGGCCATACAGCCCGGAAAACTCACAACAACCCAGAGTCGCTCCATTCCAGACTTGAAAGGTTTGCAACGTGGGGTTTCCACAGCTAAGGCTGTCTCCTGAGTGACGCGAGGGCATTGCAACAGAGGCAGCCTTGGGGTCAGCGGTTGGTTGGTTACTCATGGCGCAGCTATGAGCGGGAGGAAGTGCGGGCTCGAGAAGGCACGTTCCCGGGCCCCTTGCGTTGGAATTTGGGGACGTCAGAAGTCGGAAAGGGAGGGAGGGCGAGAGAGAGAGAAAGAGAGAGAAGGGGGAGGAAGGACACGAAGGCAAGGAAGGCTCGTTTGGGGCGAAAAGGGCGCTCCTCGGCGGCCAGGTCCAGCGGGGAAGAGTTCCCGACTCAAGTCGGGAAGGAGAGCCGAGGGAACCGAGGAAGGGAGGGAAGAAAGGAAGGAGAGCGAGCCCGGGGGGAGAGGAATGCGCCGGGCTTCCCGCGAGAGAGAGAGAGGGAGGGAGGAAGGCAGGGAGGCAGGAGCAGACCCTTCCAAGCCCTTCCCTCGCCCTCCCGCGGGGCCTGGAAGGACGGGGGAAGTGCTTGAGTGGGGACACGGGACTTCTCAATGTTATGGAATAGGAGAACGCGACCTCTTCTTCGCGACAGGCCTTAAAAGGCTGGACGAAGGGAGAAAGACAGGCGCACAGATTTGGGAGACTCTGCCCAAGTCCGCCCAAGAGAGTTCTTCCCAAAGTTCTGGCCAAGGAGGGCGAAGGCACGATCCTCCCCCTCGCTGCCTAGGAAGGCCGCCCTCCAAAGGAACTCCAGGGCTCCCCGATCCCACCCCAGTTGCCCCTGCCTCGGGGACCCTCCAACTCACCGATTCCCCCGTGGTGGCTGAGACCAGGAGCAGCGCCAGGAGGAGCGAGGCGGCGAAGCGCAAGGGCTGCATGGCGATGGCGGAGGGAGAGAGAGAGAGAGACGGCGCGCGAGAAAAAGCAAACAGCCTGGGCAGCGCGGGCACGACGGTCCTGCCTTCGCCGCCGCGCAGCCTTCTTATAATGGAGGAGGAGAAGGAGGAGGAAGAGGCGGAGGAGGAGGAGGAGGAGGCCCCGCGCGTGGCCTTCCCGCCGCCGCCCTCGAGGGGGCGCAGGCCGGCCCTTCGGAGGCCTCTTGCCTCCAGACACGGTGCTCGCAATCCTGGGCAAACTTCGGCCCTCCAGGTGTTTTGGACTCCCAACTCCCGGCAATAGTATGATAGCTGGGTCAGAAGAGATGCCGCATCGCGCCTTCGGGAACGCGGTTTACGGAAGAGAGACTTAGCTAATGTAAACCAGGACGGAGACAGATAATATAGAAGGAATGTAAGAGTTCTTTAATGGTGACACCCAAACCCTTACCCTAAGCCTAAGCCCAGAGGCGGCCCTAGGTAATTTTCAACGGTAAGCAAACAGTATTTTGCGCCCCCCCCCCCCCAACCAATCATTGATATATATTTTCTGTTTGTCGTGGGAGTTCTGTGTGCCATATTTGGTTCAATTCCATCATTGGTGGAGTTCAGAATGCTCTTTGATTGTAGGTGAACTATACATCCCAGTAACTACACTTGCCGCATGCTCCCTTGCCTGGCCCGCTTTGGGTCCGGAGGCGTGCCTGAAGACCCCGGCGTGTGCACCAAAAGTCACCTCTTCTCCTGACTTTCTCCTCAGCCATTGGGACCGAGAGAGAGAGAGAGAGAGAGGTGGAGATGCCCACCTTTCCTGAAGGTAGGCGCAAAAACAAAGGAGGGAGCGGAGGTGGGAGATACCTCCAGCCGGAGGGGCTCTCTCTCTCTCTCTTGGTCCCAATGGCTGAAGAGAAAGTCAGGAGAAGAGGCGACTTTTGGTGCGCACGCTGGGGTCTTCAGACACGCCTCCAGACCCGAAGCGGGCCAGGCGTGGCGGCTCCGCCCCTTGGCCCACCCGCGGATTGGGGAGAGGAGAGGAGGCGGGTGGAGCGCCGGGGGATCGGGAAAGGGAGCCGGTCATGGGGAAGGGATCGAACGCGGAGAACGATTGAGCGCCGGCTCTGCTCGCGCACCCGGTGGCCGGGTGGAGCAGGAACGAGAGGGGCTAGGCGAGGCTCAAGGGCCCGGCCCCTTTGGGAAGAGGATCACCCGGCAGCGAGGCAAGAAAGCCGAGGCTCCCCCCGGACTGCTAGGGCTGTTGTGAGCTGAGGGGGCGCTCCTCAAGTGGCGGTCGAGGGGCATTTACAGAGGCGCCTCTGCGCCCCTGGCAAAAAAAAGTGTTCTGCGACCGCTTACTTCGCGTAATGGACGAGCCGCCCCTGTCTGTATCCCTAACCAAACCCAAACCCTTACGCTAACTCAAACCCTAAACCTTACCCAAACCCTTACCCACCCTAAACCTTACCCAAACCCTTACCCTAACCCTTATGCTAACCCAAACCCTAAACCTTATCCAAACCCTAACCCTAACCCTTACCCCTACGCTAACTCAAACCCTAACCCTAACCCTTATGCTAACCCAAACCCTAAACCTTATCCAAACCCTTACCCTAACCCTTACCCCTACGCTAACTCAAACCCTAAACCTTACCCAAACCCTTACCCTAATCTTTACCCTAATCCAAACCCTAAACCTTATCCAAATCCTTACCCACCCCAAACCCTAAACCCAGGCATGTAGCCGGGGGGGGCTTGAGGGGCTTCAGCCCCCCCCCCCCGAAATTCTCATGGTGGTTCGCGAAAAGGCCTTATTGGTGCATTATTTAAACTGTTATGTTTATTCATATCATGATCTGATCATCATACTCAATATATCCCATATGCATGGGGGTATTGGGGTAATGATACAAAAGGTTTGCTAGGTAGACCCTCTTTCACTCAGACTCAGCCCCCCCCCCCCGAAACTCAGCCCCCCCCCCCCGAAACGAAATCCTGGCTACGGGCCTGCCTAAACCTTACCCTAACCCTTACCCTAACCCTACCCAAACCCTTACCCTAATCCTTACCCAAACCCTAAACCTTACCCTAACCCTTATGCAAACTCAAACCCTGAACCTTACCCAAACCCTTACCCTAACCCTTACCCTAACCCTTATGCAAACCCAAACCCTGAACCTTACCCAAACCCTTACCCTAACCCAAACCCTAAACCCTAAACCTTACCCAAGCCCTTACACTAACCCTTACCCAAACCCTTTCGCTAACCCAAACCCTAAACCTTACCCTAATCCTAAACCATACCCTAACTGTAACCCCAAATCCTAACCCAAACCCAAACCCTAAACTTTGCCCTAACCCTTACCCTAAGCATCTCCTCCTTTCTATCCTTCCTTCGCTCTCCTCGTTCTCACTCCACCCCCTCTCTTCCCTTATTCACAGCCACCTTTGCGGCATCTCTGTAACATTTGGTGCTTCCGGACCCAGTTGTCATACTATCACCCAACTCCCACCATTCCTAGCAGCCTCAGCCCCTCTAAAATTATAACATCAAATAAAGAACAACACTCCAACATAGAGGAACTCTAGACAAGAAACAACCAGGGACAGCTAATCACTTCTCAACAAAGGATTCCCCCAGGCAGTAACAAGCTACATCTAAAAACTGCCAGGCCATCAAATGCTAATCAAGGTGGCCAGTTGAAACATTCACGTCTACCTCCAACAGACAAGAGTTCTTTCTCCCACTCTGGACACTCCACAGATATATAAATCCAATTTTCCTACTTTCCAACAGACCTCACAACCTCTAAGGATGCCTGCCATAGATGCAGACAAAGCATCAGAAAGGAATGCTTCTATAACATGGCCATATAGCCCAAAAAACCAACAACCCAGGCAGGCATCTTCGGAAGTTGTGAAGTCTGTTGGAAACTAGGAAAATGAGATTTATATATCTGCGGAAAGGAGTACGGCAGGGCTGTATATTCTCACCCAATCAATTCAATGTGTATTCAGAACACATTGTTGACGAATCCAAGGCTGGAGTTAAAATTGCTGGACAAAACATTAACAACCTTAGATATGCAACCTTAGATGGTACCACTTTGATGGCTGAAAGCGAGGACGAGCTGAGGAGCCTTCTAAGCAAGGTGAAAGAAGAAAGTGCAAAAGCTGGGTTGCAGTTAAACATAAAAAAAACCCTCAAGATTATGGCAACTGGACTGATGGATAACTGGCAAATAGAGGGAGAAAATGTGGAGGCAGGACAGACTTTTATTTCTAGGTGCAAAGACTACTGCAGACGCAGATTGCAGACAGGAAATCAGAAGACGTTTACTTCTTGAGAGGAGAGCAATGACCAATAGTGAAGCGTAGAGACATCACACTGGCAGTGAAGATCCACATAATTAAAACAATGGTATTCCCTGTAGTAACCTATGGATGTGAGAGCTGGACCATAAGGAAGGCTGAGCAAAGGAAAATAGACGCTTTTGAACTGTAGTGCTGGAGGAAAATTCTGAGAGTGCCTTGGACCGCCAAAAGATCCAACCAGTCCATACTTCAGGAAATAAAGCTGACTGCTCATTGAAGGGAAGGATATTAGAGGCAAAGATGAAGTACTTTGGTCACATAGAGAAGACAGAAAAACTTGGAGAAAACAATGATGCTGGGGAAAATGGAAGGAAAAAGGAAGAGGGGCTAATCAAGGGCAAGATGGAGTGAAGTAACTGGATTGACCTTGAAGGAGCTGAGGGTGGCGACGGCCAACCAGGAGCTCTGGCATGGGTTGGTCCATGAGGTCACGAAGAGTCAGAAGCAACTGAACAAATAAACAACAACAAGCTCAATGTGGCCAGTGGTTAGATTCCCCGACTGGATTCATGGAGATTTTCCAGAGTGGTTCCTGGCTAGTGAAACCAGTGGAAGCTGTAGCATATATCATTATGCTACAATAGGGGAAGTTTTACCTGTTGACTTCTGCCAGCCTTCCTGCTGTCCCATCTGTCCTGTCCTCTGATTTGTTGAACACCAGGCCACCCACTCATGTCAAGACTTGACCATGTTATTGCTATTGCTCTTGGTTTTGACACCAGTTTTATATTTTGTATGTTGTAGTTGTTATTTTAATTTGCTGTTGATGACTCTTGATGTGCTATGTTTTAATTTCTGTTATCAGGGCTGCCCCGAGTCCCTTCGGGGAGATGGGGGCGGGGTATAAAAAATAAAGTTATTAAAGAGAGAGAAACAGAACCCATGTGCAAAGGGCAGCATTTGCTGCAGGCCTCCTCATAAAATCATAGAGTTGGAAGAGACCTCACAGGCCGTCCAATCCAACCCCTGCCAAGAAGCAGGAAAATCACATTCAAAGCACCCCTCACAGATAGTTATCCAGCCTCTGCTTAAAAGCCTCCAAAGAAGGAGCCTCCACCACACTCCGGGGCAGAGAGTTCCACTGCTGAACAGCACTCACAGTTAGGAAGTTCTTCCTTGTGTTCAGGTGGAATCTCCTTTCCTGTAGTTTGAAGCCATTGTTCCATGTCCTAGTCTCCAGGGCAGCAGAAAACAAACTTGCTCTCTCCTCCCTATGACTTCCCCTCACGTCTTGATACATGGCCATCATCATGTCTCCCCTCAGCCTTCTCTTCTGCAGTCTAATCATGCCCAGCTCTTTCAGTTGGACCCCATAGGGCTTGTTCTCCAGACCCTTGATTGTTTTAGTCTCCCTCCTCTGGACCCATTCCCGCTTGTCAACATCTCCCTTCAGTTGTGATGCCAAGAACTGGACACTGTGATTCCAGGTGTGGTCTGACCAAGGCAGAATAGAGGGTTAGCATGATTTCCCTGGATCTAGACACTTCTTGCAGGCCAAAATCCCATTGGCTTTTTTTGCCACTGCATGACATTGTTGTCTCATTTTTTAACTTGTTGTACATGTGGACTCCAAGATCTATTTCACACGTACTGCTGCCGAGCCAGGCGCCCCCCTGCCGAGCCAAACACCCATTCTGTATCTTTGCATTTCATTTTTGTCTGCCTAAGAGGAGTATCTTGCATATGTCCCTGTTGAACGTCATCTTGTTAGTTTTGGCCCAAGGCAGCTGTCCTTTTGGGGCATCC